ATATATATATATATATATATATATATATATATATATATATATATATATATATATATATATATATATATATATATATATATATATATATATATATATATATATATATATATATATATATATATGTATATATATATATATATATATATATATATATATATATATATATATATATATATATATATATATATATATATATATATATATATATATATATATATATATATATATATATATATATATATATATATATATATATATATATATATATATATATATATATATATATATATATATATATATATATATATATATATATATATATATATATATATATATATATATATATATATATATATATATATATATATATATATATATATATATATATATATATATATATATATATATATATATATATATATATATATATATATATATAAACTTATTTTATTTACTTTATTTATTTATTTTCACATATACATATAGACAGTAGCCCCTTTCACACATACAGACCTTTCCGGAAAATTACCGACAATTTTTCTGAAAGGTCTGTATGTGTGAACAGGCCTTTTTTAAAATACCAGTAAATTCGTTCCGGATAGAGAAAGTTGTAACATTACTGGTAATTTGCCAGAATGCTGCGCTGTGTGAACGCAGAAAGAAGATTGCCGTAAAGAGCGCGTGCACGTCTAGAATGCGCTGATGTGAGACGCATTCACGTTTGAGCGATTTATGAAAATATTTTTCCAGGCACATTTAGCTGCTAGATGTTAGTCAGATGTTTATATGTTCCTTCTTAATGCCAACTGTGTAAATAATTATTCTGACACTGGAATGCCCTGTCAGTAATGTCTAGTGGTTGTCAATAGGCTTTTTATAGTGTCTGCTATAATGTTAATGTTGTTTTTGGTGTTTACAGATGAATATGGTCACTGTGTGAAAACACAGTACAGTTAAGATCTTATTGCCACATTAGATCATTATGATTACATAATATATGCCTTCAGTGATCTCCTGAATATAGATCCCAAAAAATAACACAACTGGAATCACTACCGCAGTCGCCATCTTCTGATCTCACAGGAGAAGCAGGAGATTGCGAGGACATACAGTATGATGACGTGTGCAGGTGCTGCAGTGCAGTCCCAATTCTTAGGGGTAAATTTTGAAGCCCTTCTTCTTAACCTTCAGTCGTAAGGGAAGGGGAAGGGGTAGGGGTATAAAATTAGAATTGGGATTGGGCCTTAATTGATTATAAGAAACTTAGCAAGTACGTCATCTAACCCTAATCCTAACCCCAACCCAAACAGTCTACTTAATCTATTGAGAACAAGTTGGCATATTAATGCAATGTAACTTAAATTCAACAAAATGCGTTAAAGGGACCATCAAAATAAAGTGATACCAAAATGTCATTTAGAAGGTAATTTCAAGATTTTAAAATAAAAAAATACTATGGTAATTACCCAGTAAGTTAAACAAACTACTTGAATCTAAACAACTAAACACTGGTTATTGCTTATAAACAGAAAGCACGTGGTCTACTACATTTTCAATCTAAAATGTCAAACTAGTTGCCCTTAACTGAAAACTTGCAGAAAGAAAGATTAAAATATAAAAGATGCATGAAACAAAGGCATCACCTCAGCTACAGCTAACAATTAGCAAATTACAGATGTTAAATTCCCATTGCGGAGAGAAAGATGGCAGATTTTGCAGGGCCCCTGGAGCTTCAGGGGCCCAAGTGAATGTTGTTGCGTCTCTGACTGCTGGCGGACTTCAAAAGAGATGCGTAACCATCCGTCTCAGCCTCATGCTAATCTGATTAGCCACGGCTAAGCTTAAAAGTAGCGCTGCGCTAATTAAACTGAACCAAATGAATGATTTAATTACATTAACATTTCCACTTTACAGCGGGGCAAAGCTGGGCTTTTTCTCTGGCAGCGTGGTGAAGATAAACGCTATAAAGTTAATGCTGAGAAAGACAGAGAGAGAGAAAGAGAGAGAGAGGGAGAGAGAGAGAGAGAGAGAGAGAGAGATAGTGCAGAAATATCTTAGCACCTTTGCATGAAACAAATTAGTTTGACTATAGAATTTTTGTTTTCAAAAAGTATATTCTGAATTAAAAGTTTAGCAAAAAATAACATGCATCAAATTTATCAATTTATCAACAAGTACATTTATATAACTGCATAAAAATAGATTTATGATCGGACAAATCAGAATTTTTTTGTACACCTATATTCAAAATGTTTAGGCCGGTAATACACAACAGTACAACAGTATTTATTTATTAATATTATTATTTTTTAAATTTTATAATATTAACAAAAAATACAAATAAAGGAATAAATAAATAATAATGACAGCAGTTTATATA